TTACAGCTTCGCAGAGATATAGCGTCTCTTAGCGTATTCTATCGCCTATACCACGGTGAGTGCTCTGAAGAGTTATTCAGCCTTATCCCTTCCTCTCCTTTCCATCAGCGGACCACCCGTGCCGGACTGCGTTGCCACAGTTGGACGGTCAGTTCAATACCGTCCCGCACTAAAAAGTTTGGCAATTCGTTTTTATGCCGAACCATCAAATTGTGGAACCAACTCCCGGCGCATGTATTCCCTCCCCTCTATAACATCGGGTCCTTCAAACGTAGTGTGAAGAAGCATTTGGCCAGACCGGCAAAATGATAGTGACGGAGTGAAGATATTTGTGTTTTCCATTCGTTACTCTCATCTCTGGACTGTATTCGCACTTTCCATCAGGCGCGGTGCAGTCATTTTGTCGAGTCACAATAAAAAAAAAAAAAAAAAAAGGTGGCGTATAATAAGCATGTAGGGAGATAGGAATCATGTAGATAAGGGAAAGAAAATCTCCAATCTCATAAAGTCTTCATTTGATACTCCACGAGCTTACGTGCAATGTAAAATAATCGATACTGTACCTCTTCTAACTATTTTTCCTTTTTTTCCAATAATATACCGTTTTTACTTAAATTGAAAATTTAAAAAAACTATTGCGTTTTTTGGGACCAAACATTTAAGTAATGAAAATTGTTAGCATTTAAATACCTGTAAACAATTTATGTTCACACATTGGTACCGCTATAATAAAAAAAATGTCGAACTAAACCAAAACCGGGTTTCCAAATACAGAGTTTCTACATATCGATAATTTGATTACAACACGCGGACCCAGTACCAAATGTAATACGACACTAGTGCAAGCAATTCATTGAGCGTCATTCAAATTGTTCTTTTGACGGCGGCGATAGCTAGCAACCAATGTATATTGTTATTATCGGGTTGCAAGAAATTAGTTTCGTTTCGAAATTAAAGTATTGTATTGTTCAAAATATTAGAACATACAGAGTTTTAGTACTTACCGATGAAATGAAATCACTCCCGTGATATTTTTTAAACTGTGGTTTTTTACGCGACACGATATAATGGCACAATTCGGCAAATATTTATTTTTTCTTCAAAATAATCATGTATCACATTTGAACGACTGACGCGCTGTTGACACTCATTTGAACGTCTGTTCATAAGCTAGGTAACGCGAACCACGCCCACTAACCAGTCTATTACTAGTATTTATGTAGTCTGTGGTTGGCACTCTCACCACTAACGAATTTAAATTCACGCTGTGGCGGGACCCCCTAGGGTGCAATTGGCTTTTAGTCTGATATACTTCACTATCTTCTCAGATTTCGTGAAGTAAAACAGCCGCGACAGATACAGCAGCGTCGTCGGCATGGCCGGACACAGCAGAAAGTTCAGTCTTGTCGGTGCTGTAAACTTTCTGCTGTGTCCGGGGATAAGGGAGAATAAAGATTTTTATGATGACTGTGTTTTAAAATATCAACCCTTCGGGTGATCGGATTGACTTGAAATCTAGTAGGTTAATGAAAGTACGATGACAGTATAAAAAATCATTACCACTGTGATTGTAGCATGTAGCTACGTATACGCACACGCCTGCGTGGCTAAGATCAATTAATATTTGCGTGTAGTAAAACCTTATGCGTATTTGGTAACAAATGTGTGCGTGTAAAAGTCAGTTACGCTAGTTCTCAAAGAAATTGCTTTAAATGCCGTTTTCATATACTCTGTGGTTAATCCTAATTATAGCAAGTATAAAGCAATGTCTAGCTCAATATTCCGCTAGTTATGAAATATAATGTCGATATCAATTAAATATCACATCCCTATCTGTTGATTGTCAATTTTTTGCTTTTTCCAAAAAGATCCAAGAAGTTGATGTTCATAGGATTCTTAGCTTTATGTGACTAGTCATAATAAAACCTTATTAGATTTCAATTTTTTTTACCAAAAGTTTTTTATTATTGTCTAATTTCGTTTATAATTTATAACCAATCAAAATTATGTTATCTTAGTACTAATGTAAGATTACTTTTTCAAATCTGTGCGTGTGACGACACGATGATGCCATTTCCATTATTTTCTTTCTTCCGTGGGGAAACCTATACCTATTCACTGTAGTCTAAGCACTAAAGCCAATAGTTCCCCAAAATGCGCAACTTGGAATTTTAACTCTGGCCGTCAAGCTGACTTTCAAGTTAGGCTTCGGGTCTTTGCACATACTATTAGACCCACACCAGACAGACCTTGTATCGTGGTTGCTATGGACAAAAACACATACTCAACCACAAATCACACCCAAATTAGCGAGAGAAATAAATGTAGGCCACACAAATATTTCTCCCGGCCCGGGAATCGGACCCGGGACCTCTGCATGGCAGACCAGCATGGTTGCCGTTCGGCAAGGGAGACAGTTGTTGAAAACCATTACTAAAAAACAAGCAAAATTTTTTTTGCTTGTAACGAACGAATCACGAACTTGTCGAATCCGGAATTTGTCCTGTACCGAACAAGGGTTATTGACATTAAATTTGTGACAAGTGTGATAGCTTAAATATAACATCCACTCGGTTTCCGGTCACATGTCGGGGCTGTGGTCAGAGCAATACCTAAAGTATTATAAAATTACTATATATATATATATATATATATGTATATATCTTACCTGTGTCCTCGGCCAATAAGTTATTTTCAATGTCGCAGTCTTTTTCTTCTTGGTCCTTTCGCATGTTTGAAATAAGTTTGTTATCTACATCCAACTCTAAGTTGTCACTTTTTTTACTTTTTACTTTATCACTGGTTTCTATGTCATGTCTTTGTTGATAATTATCTATCTGTTTTGGATTCAGATAGCATTTCGATTTAGGTTCAAACGCAATTGTGGAATTTGACACAAATGTAATAGAGTTTTCCGACTTCTTACGTCCCGTCTTTGGCAAGTCTATGTAATCATGTCTGTATATGTTTGCCACGTTTTCACTATCAATTGATTTCACATTGTCTTTACAAAAAATACTTTTTATAATATCAATATGGTCATTTTCATTGGTATCATATTCGATAGCCGCGTAATCGTTCTTCAAAGAATGAGCATCCAAATTATAAGCCAATTTGTCTCCTTCCATTTCATAATTATTCAGTTCAATCTGAGCTTGCTGTAATCTGTTAATAGGGTGAGACCTAAATACATGTCTTGCCATTTTAACAATCTCTGATTCATCGAAGTGCTCAGATTCAGATACCTCACGTTTTTGTCTTTTTTTGACATCCATTCTATCTACACATTCCTCTATTTCTAAATGCTTAAGAGTTCTCTCCTGCCCATGTTCCCTTAAAACCCTCTCCATCATACACTGCTTTGTAATATGTTGTTTTAAAACATTCGTTTCGACAGATTCTCTAGTTTTATCCGAGGTAAATACTTTATCTTTATGTACATTTTCAACAAGTTGTTCGTTTTCACGTTGTGCAATTTGTGATCGGTCGGATTCTGCAGCTACCATTTTCGTAACGCCTTATTATTTCATTTTACTTGAATATAAAAGGAACACTTCTACTCCCTTCTAACTTGGCCACGGAAAGAGAAATGCTTTAACCTAAAAAAACACATACATATTTACTTGTAATGCTGTAATAATTTTTCTAAAAGAGTTGTTCTCAGTAACTTAGCAAACATTTTGAGAAGGCTAATAGTAGTACCGGTACGCCCGATAACGTAGCTACTTGAAGTTTAATTAATGAACTTAATATGGTGATGAAAGTACATTATAATTTGTAATATTTATTAACTTATAAGCTTTAAAGTTTATACAATGAGTAAAATCGTTATACTCGCAATTTTTGTGAGCTGTAATGAGAGTGAGCTGGCCACTGGGTGTCTGATAACTGCTGGAGCAGACAAGACTGACTATAAACGGTGTATAGGTCAACGTAATGTGGAACAACGTCGTCACATGTAGATATACCGACAATATGATGAAGGGAGCCGGAGGTAACGCAACATTGAACTTTTGTCATTTCTGATAAAAACACTAAGTACCTAACTACACTCAATGATATTAAACATAAAAAAGGCAGATATTGTGAAGATCGTGATACAATTGTAACTTCTTACGATCAATCTGCGGCCAGCATAAATATATGACGCAATTCGAATTTTTTGCAAGGCCTCACAGTAAATTTAAAAAAAAAACGCCAAATGTCTCGGTAACTATCGGCCGTAGACGAAAAATTATAAGGATATAAAGTGTTTAATTAGGCCTAATCTACTCGAAACAGTTATACATTAATATTATATTTTATAAAAATTTTAAAGTTAATTGACATTTTTCTGTGCTGAGCTCCTAGTATTAAAAAAAATCCCGCCAATTTTCTCGATAACTATCAGCCGTAAACGTAAAATTATAAGAATGAAAAAGGTTTTCATCCACTAGTTCGGAAAGGCTTTTTTTCTCAATAGAAATTGCGCGCAAAAACGCTTTTAGCACGCTAGCGTGAAAAAGGTTTTTGAAATTCGAACTTGACGATGGACTGTGGTGCACCCAAAGATTTAGTATATAGGTACCCATAGATTGGCAATGCAAGTGAAAGAGCGTTAGTATACACGCATGTTAGAGCGAGATAGGTAGACCACTTCATTATATGCTATGAGCCTGTATGAACCTAGGGTCAGCAGACAACGAAACAAATTTCGTTTATTTTTGAAAAATAATTGGTTTTAAAATGTGAAATAGTGTTAAACGGACGTTTATTAGTCATGGTAACGTGTTCAGTGCCCGGATGTAACTCATCTAAAAAGGAAAACTCGCAGAATTGTACATTTCACATGTAAGTACTATTTAAATTTTTAGCTGTCCAAAAGCACTACCACAAAGTTTTTTACATAAATATATCCGTAAAATTATACATTCAAGTGCATTAATAACCCAAATGTATACGAATTCAATTAAAAAATATATATCAAATACGTGAATTTCTGAAATTCATAACCCCACTTTCATAGAGATTGACGCAATCGATAATATGCTATCGAGATGTCATTAACTGAAAAAAAGAAAAGCAAAGGCGTGGCTTGCATACAGCCGAAATCATCTTCATACTTAATACTATTGAATCAGAAATTTCTGGTTTTAATACTTTATATTTAATGAATATTGCATTAGTGCATTATTTTGTATCTACATTAAAACGAAAATTTCTTTTAATAGCGTAGTTGAGGCTCCCATTTTTTTATGTTAATTATTGTTGTTGATTCTGATTTCCTCAAAACATTGAAGTACGACAGAAATGGGTTATAATGCTAAAGAGAGAATACTGGGTTCGCCAAAAAGTTTTCAAAAATATGCAGCAAACACTTTGAGGAAAAATGCTTTTCCTTTAGAGGCAAGCAAAGAGTACAGCTACGTTCTGGTTCTGTACCTACATTATTGATGCCGGTATGTATTACAGTTAATGGATTTTTGTGTAGTACTACTCTCGTCATCAACAAATCAGCGATTTGTTGTTGTTAGAGTTCTGTTCTGTTCCAAAATACGATATTCATATAGGATCACTTGTGTGTCCATATGCCCGTCTGTCACAGCCAATTTACTCCAAATCTACTGGACTGATTATTTTGAAATTTGGCACACATATGCATTTGTGTGCCCAAAATGTGTAACGTATATAAATTAATTCTGAATTTGAAGTCACTATTGGGAGGGAAAGTTCTCAAGTATATATTATTTGTAATTTTGAAATATAAATATTTTTAAATTGTTTAAGAAAATAGACGAAAATTGATCATTCTTCTCTTTATCTTCGAAACTACTGAGCCTAAAGTTTTGAAAAAAATACAGAAATTGTATTTACATCTCCTCACTATTGTGCGAATAAACCTATATTCGCTGTTGGAATCTAATGGAGAACATATTCTTCAACTACAATGTTAAGTTTGTACGGAAACCTCTCCGCGCGAGTTCAACTCGCACTTGGCCGGTTTTTTGGTTCTATTACTTATCTACAAATTCACTACTGTGATGCACTTCTATGTCATCATATCATACAATAATTATAATAGTTATATTTGTTTGTAGGTTACATTGAAGACAAGACGCAAGGTATCTTCATATGTGTACAGAGATACATCGCCAGTACCCAGTAGCTCTATAGCAAACGATCTCGATCGAGATATATCCCCGAGGATGAAAAAAATGAAGAAAACTATTGATCTTCTTAACAAGCGCCTAGATATGAAAAGAAAAAACCTGAAAAACTATCGCGCCGTAACTGATCATGGGTCTTATCACCGTTTTGTAGAGCCATAGTGTTATCTTGGGTGAAAGTCCCCATTGTTTACCTACCATCCTATGGCACTGCCAGAAAGTGATAGTAGCTTTCTTAATTTTGTATTGAATCATTAATTAATTAGTTAATTAACGTCTCGGCGTTTTGCGATAAGACATTTTGGTGAATACGACGAAGTGAAATGCCGGTGTAATATGTTAATCGATATCAAAGTTAAATCAGTGGATGGCGCAACACTATTTATCTTGCACACATGCACATTATACGCACACAGATGTATTTTTGTTTTGGTCTCGTCTCCAATACTTCAGGGCCAATCTATGGATATACTAAATCTATGGGTGCACCCAACTTTTTCTTTCGATGAAGAAAAAAGATAAGGACACTTTCAACTACGCGATTTATCCTACATTACTTATTCATGTAATATAAATCCGTTGGTATATTTTATTCTTATTACTGTTCACATTAAATTGATAATGATAACTATTTGTGTTTATTAAATTGTTTTAATTCGTTGAAGAACTAAAATAATTTCAATAATCACTTAATCGCACAAAATAAAAGTACAAGCAAGAATAAAAATGTATGTGGTATAAATTCAGAACGCATTCAAAGATAAACTTTTTCTTTTAATAAAAAAAATTTGTTAATTTTTTGTTCAAATTATTTCATCTACCATTTTCCTCGCTATAGTGAGGTGAAAAGTGGAGTGTTTCGCTCGGCAGCAAAGTTGTTTTGCGTCTCGTGCGTTGAAACCCTTGTTACGCTCAGTGACCTTAGCATGAGCCCGAAGACAAAAGTTATCTCTTCTTCGAACTGTCAACTTTCGAAGTTCGAAGAAGAGATAACTTTTGCCTTCAGGCACATGCTAAGCCTGCAGGAATCTATTTTTGAACAACTCGCTTCCCTCGTGGTTCAATCGTAGCTTCCTTCGCTTCCTCAGATTTCAATACAAGCACTCGCGTTAAACAACAACTTTGCAGCCTTGCATAAAAATAACTATTATTTATATCTACTCTACTTGAAACAAGCATTAAAGGCCTTTTTGGGGGTGCCCCCTTGTGTTCAGTCCATCCGCGCAACCTTTAAAAAATGGCTATCTAGATTATTTTCCTATCTTTTAAACTTTTTAAACATTTGCAATTTCTATCGGAATTCAAACTTCGAGTACTATGAACGTAACATATATTAAAAATATCATTGATGATTATTCATTCATGGACAACGCTTGCGAAAATACTAACCCTGAAAATTTCCGAAACACCCTTATAACATGTTCACATCAGGAAAGTCATTTTACAAATAAATAACCATTACAAAAGAAACCGTTTATGAAATATACTTGAAAATAATTTTATGAAAATTATCTGAACATAATAATGTCACACAAACAATAGTTTGACATGTATTCTTTTTACAAACTTTTCATCACAAGATAATAACGTTTTTATTGACCAGATTAATTTTTTCACCAATGATAGAGTATTTATGCGATTACGGTATCCAAATAAATATTACAAATGTGAAAGTAACTCTGTATGTCTGTTACGTTTTAATCGCTGAACCAATTTTGATGAATTTGGGTACAGAGATAGACGGGACCTAAGAGAAGGACATAGGCTACCTTTTGTGACAAAAATAAATATTAAAAGGAGTGAAATAGAGGTGAAAATTTGTATGGAAAACGAATAAATTTATTAACATTCGCATAGTACAGTAAGCTTCTCAAAGTATTGCTCAAAAGTTTGCTTAACAGTTTTTTTCGATTTCCATGGGATCTTCTCATAAAATTCTGAGTTCTTGGGGATAATGGGACTATCACGGACTCCTTTCTACATTTTATACTTTTTTCTGGTTGTCATGGTAACGGTGATTTGTTGATTACATGTATTGTGAAAAGTCGACTTTTAATTTCCACCACCACTGTCCACAATTGACGGAGAAAACGGAAAACATACATACAGCCGAACCTATAACCTCCTCCCTTTTTTTTGAAGTC